GCGCGCGCCAACAAGCACAAAAACAAAGGGTCGCGAACGACGAGCAAACATATAAATCGACACATGCAAAACAAAAACCCATAACCATACAATAAGTATTGATAGAAGCACAAGGTTCCCCGCGTCGCCGCGCAAACCCGCGCCTCGCGCGCTTGTTTCCTCGCTTCCGCGCAAGACGCCAACGTTGCTCGCGTCGCGTTGCAAGCGCTGGCGCCCCGCCTCGCTTTCTTTCGCACGCGCGCATGTTTCGCGAGTTGATTCGCTCGATGTCACTGCGTTTCTGTTCGTTGTGCGATGCCTTCGCGCGCTGCTCGCTCGCGCGCAACTGTTTGCGCGACTCCGCGCCGTTGCGCGATGTGTCGTAGTTGGTTTGCACTGCTGTGCGTTTGTGCTCGGATATCAAAATCTAGGCGTGCACGTTGGAGTTGCTTGCGCATCCTCCCCCGCTGCATGCGTGAATTGTTTGAATTTCCGCGCGCTCGCTCGCGCTTTCTCCCGCGCGCCCGCGCATTTCTGCGCGCTGCCCTGCTCGGCCGCAAAATTTTTACGAGTTCGCTGTGTTTTCAACGCTGCGCACCACCGCCCTGAAGTTTTTAGCGCCTTTCTCCTGCGCGCGTAGATTTTTGCGCGCGCCCCCCGCTTGTTTTCGCATCCTCGCTTGCGTTTTTGCGCTTGGACCCCTGCGTTCGCATTTTTTCAAGCGTCGTCGCGCGTCGCCGCCCTCGACCGCGCCCCCCCGCGCTCGCCCGAGGCCCGCGCGGCGCGCGCCCCCCGCGCGGCCGCGGAGAAGCGCTGGGGGGGCGCGAAAGAAGCGCCGGGCCCGCCCGCGCGGCCGAGGAGAAGCACTGGAGAAGTGCTGGGGAAGTGATGGGGCCGCCCGCGTGCCCCGGGAGAGGCGCCGGAGAAGCGCCGGAGAAGTGCCGGGCCCCCCCCGCGCCCGATCAGCGACGCGTCGCGCCGTTGGGCGCTCGGCGGCGGCCGAGGAAGCCCAGGTCAACGCGGCGAACGCAGAGCCGAAGTCAAAACGTTATGCGCATGGAGAAGAACCGCGAGATAATGACGGCAAACATCTTAAACTACGCGCAATCACTACAACAAAACAACAACAACTTATATCTATAACAATGGACAACACTGCATAAAACGACGCAACTGGCAAACCGACCCCCCCCCCCCCCCCCCAACAAAAAAAAAAACGCGAAGAGGTGAAACGCATATATATATATATATATATATATATATATATATATATATATATTATAATATATATATATATATAAAAAAAAAAAAAAAAAAAAAAAAAAAAAAAAAAAAAAAAAAAAAAAAACGCTACGCGGAGATAAACAAAAAAACAACAACGCGCGCATAATCATCATACATAACAAAAACAGCAACACAGTATATATATAACCTTCGCGCCGTCGCGCGCGGGAACAAACGCAAAAAAACGCGCGGGCGCTCGCGCGCTGGAACAAGAGAAAAACAAAACACGAAACAACCGCAAAACTCAATGAACGCCCCGAAGCAATTGAGAAACCGACGAACTATAATCGCCCCCGAGAGAAGAAAAAAGGGGGGACGAGAGAGAGAAGATTTTTTTAAAAGGCACCAATGGAAACATGCGAGAAAACACCAGAAACATGATTCCACCCAAGAAACACACAACGCCCGAGGGGGAACCGCATCACGCGCAGCAGCGCACATTGAAACGACCCAAAATAAAGCAGAGAAACCAACAACAACGACAACGACAAAGCCAAACAGTCGCGCGCGCTTCCGATCGCGACGGCAGTGATTCGCAGATAGGAAAGACGCGCAGGACAGAGCGATCCCGCGCGCCGGCGGCAACGCCACCTGCGGGGCGGGCGCTCGCAGAGAGCAGAGAACCAATGGATGCGGGGGGGAAGCAGAACGAAGCGAACGCAGCGAGCTGGGCGGGCGGCGTCGCGGGAAGGAGGGCAGACAGAAGGCCGAGGGGGAGGGGCGCGCGAAGCGGCGATAATACAAATGCGACAGCAGCGGGCAGGCAGAGAGGCGGCGCAGAGGACTGGCAGCAGCGAGCAGAGGCCGCGCGCAACGGGCAGGGACAGACGAGTAGCGGTGGCGAATTACGAGCGATGAGATCCCCCGCGCGCGGATGGATGAATGGAGCGGCGCCGGGGGGGGGGGGCGCGGGCAAGCTATGCGCGCTCGCAAAACATCTGACGACCCACTTCCAGCGGGCCACCGATCGCCTCCCTGGCGGCTGGACTTGGGGTGGGGTCGGGAGCGGCTGACCAGTCTGACCGCGCCCACCTCCCCCTTCCTCCTCTTGCCTCCTGCGCTGGATTGCTGCATGTTGAATTTGCGTTGTGTTCCAAGCTGATGTGTTGCATTGCTGCGTTGCGTGTTCCCGTGGGGCAGTTCGCTGCGTTGCATGTTGCTGCGCTTGCATGTTGTGCGTTGCTGCGTTGAGTTGCGCTGCGTCGAACGTCGCTGCGCTGGGCCATGCGTTGCTGGATGTTGTCATATGGCACCATAGTGCGTTGCAGCTTGCGGCGATGCATTTCCTCTCGTGCATTTTGCTGCATTTCGTTAAAGGGGGGCGGCCATTGCCTCGCGCCGCGCAATATATTCTGAAGATGCGATCCGAAACTATGGATGTGAATTGCTGCCGCGCGCGCGTGGGCTCGATTGCCGATTCGCCCTCGACGTCGGCAGGGCATCTCGGTGGTTCGGCCACGCCCCTTGGCGCCGCGAGGGCGAACTCTCGCCTCCGCGCCGCTGTGAATTATCCATTCGAACTAACCGTTCTCGCCCGGCAAACTCGGCAACGACCATTCCGCTAGCAACTGAAAGCGTCGGCGACGACGATGCGGCTCCAAGGCTGGCGCTGCTCCGAGAAGCCCAGCATCTCTCTCCCCCCTCTCTCGCCCCCCCCCCATGTGCCCGGCGCCTCTGCGACGCGCTCGGGCTGTCCAAAGTCCGTGGGCCGGGGCGGTTTTCTGCGCGGGCGCAACTCCGGCTACTGCCGAGTAGTATATGTAGATCTCCTGGCGCACGGCAAATCCACCTCCGCCCGCTAATCCTTTAAGCTTGTCGCGCGGGTCAGATCCTTCAAGTTCTCCGTTAAGGGCTTGCCAGAGATCCTCGTCGGGGCAGTTCGCGCCCTCGTCGGTAAACTCGAATCCCCTCTCATATTCGTCCCGCTGCTGTCTGGCCACGCTGGCCTTCTGGCGCCTGGCATGCGTGAATCGCCCGTTGAAAATCCGCAACAGGTCCTCCGACTCCTCCTTAGGCATGACTCCGTTCATCGTCTCCAACTTCTTGTTCGGGGACTTGACGGCTCCGCGATAGTCGCGCGTGGCGCGAGCCAGAGCGCCGCATAATCTGTCACCCCGCTCTCTGAATTTAGCTTTGTCGCTGGAAAAGCTTCGAGGTTCCAGTGGGCCTTGAACTCGCCGATGGGTTTGCCGTTGCCGTCCCCTCCTTTTCCTCCCCACTAGTGGCGGGCGCTCGCCAATTTGGAGATCCCACTTAACAAAGCCCCGCGCGCATCCGCGCTTGCCGCCGTTCTCTCGACCAGCCGGTGAAAACTGCGCGCGTCCCCCTCAACCACCGAGTTCGAGCTAGCGAAACTTATCAGCACGGCGCTCATGTTCTGCTGTGCGTGCACCATCTCGACGGCCTCTTCCTGGGTGAACTCAATGGTGTCCGTAGAGAGGCGGTCGACAATGAAGTCTCTGATTCCTTGGTGAGTGGCGCGCACCGCTGTCCTAATCAAAGTTACCATTGACCGTTGACGACACGCACATGTCCATACACCTCTGGATATCAAGCTTAATCCAAGCCTCTCGGTCCGCAGGTGCGCGAAAATCAACCGGAGGGTCCTGCGGGCCTGGGGTAAAACCAGCTGATCGGCATCCTGTCATTGCAACAGACGCCCCGCTACCATGCAACAAATCAAGAAGGGTTCAGCGCACATAATCGCGCGCATTCGTTTCACCTGCGACGCTCGGATGAGTCAGACTTCCGCACGATAAAAGCTCGAGCCAAGCAGCGTCGGCAACGACAGCTACTCAACTCCCTGCACCACTATGCCTCCACAGTTGCCATCACATGCTCTAACACCTTCTCCTCCTCCTCCTCCTCCTCCTCCTCCTCCTCCTCCTCCTCCTCCCCCTCCTCGTCCTCCTCCTCCTCCTCCTCCTCCTCCTCCTCCTCTTCCTCTTCCTTCTTCCTCCTCCTCCTCCTCCTCATTCTCATCCTCCTCTTCATCCTCACCCTCATCCTCATCCTCATCCTCATCCTCATATCCATCCTCCTCCGCATCCTCATCTTCATCCTCATCCACATCCACATCCTCATTCTCATCATCAGTATCAAAATCATCATGATCAGCACCAGCATCATTAGCATTATCATCATCAGCATCATCAGCAGCATAAGCATCAAGATCAAGATCATGATCATTGTCATGACCATGACCATGACCATGACCATGATCATGATCATGATCATGATCATGATCATCATCATCATCATCATCATCATCATCATCATCATCATCATCATCATCACCGTCATCACCGTCATCATCCTCGTCATCCTCGTCATCCTCATCCTCCTCATCCTCCTCATCATCAGTTTCATCATCAGCATCATCATTATCCTCATCCTCCTCCTCATCATCATCATTATCATCATCGTCATCATCGTCATCATCGTCATCATCAGCATCGTCATCATCACCACCACCATCATCATCACCACCCCCACCATTATTATCATCATCAGCATCAGCATCGCATCATCATCATCATCATCATCATCATCATCATCATCATCATCATCATCATCATCCTCATCCTCCGCCTCCTCCTCCTCCTCATCTCGTCCCTCCCATTCCTCCCACCTGCGCCACCTTACCGTCAGGGCATTGGAGGGCCGTGGCGCCCAGAAGTCGCACTGCCTGCCTGGCGACCGGGTGCCGCCGTCGCGCGCGCGCCGTTTTAGCGATCCGCGTGCCAACCGTACGGCGCCTCGTACCGAGCATGAAAGAAACGGATTCTGGGGGCCCCGTGAACCTTTCGCCGCGGTCGGGCCCCCTGGGGCCCTCAGCGGCCCCAAGGGGCAACTCATAGCTGGCCTTGCTGGAAAAGCCCCGAGGCCTGGGTCGGGGACACGCGCTGGCCAGGGCTCGGGGGAGCGTCGGTGGAGTCCGCACACAAGAAGAGGGGTCGCAAGTCATGGCGAAGCACCAGGGGGCGTGGTAAAAAAAAAAAAAAAGCAAGGGGTCATTACACCTGGGGAGACATCATGGCCCCCGCCGTGACGTCCAACCCCCATCGTCATCACCCCCCGCATGGCCGCGCCCGAGAGCGGGCGGTCGGTTCCAGATGGCTCCCAGACCCGGGTCAGTCAGAGGATTTCTGAAAGGATTGTCTGACTACCGTTAATGAAGGGGAACTGGGACACACAAATAAATACACACAAATAAAATTATCCCCCATATTTTCCCATATTTTCTGGGTTTTTGTCTTCCCCCCCACTTCCCATATTTTCCCATATTTTCTTGGAATCGCCGATTAATTGTGTCTGTGTGTTTTTTCCCCTCCTGAGTTAACGCTGACCCCTAACACGTGTGCTCCGATACCCCTCCAATCGGCCTTCTGCCCACAATTCGGCTCTCGCGCGGCCTCGGGCGGCCCACAACTCGGGACGAACCCGGCCTCCCCAGAACGCCCCCGACGAGGCGCAGCCGATGGAAACCACACGCCCCGAAACCTCAAACCAGACAATTTCCGAAAATATCCGTTCCAATCATGAGCCATTTCCTTCACACCGAATCTCCGCTGTGAGTGGCCGAGCCCGCGCCGGGAGCGGGCCGGGGCGCAAAAACTTCGCGGGAACGCCGCGCGTCAGCCGACGCCCTGCCCAGCGAGAGGCGGCCAAAAAGTGGAACTGTTGGTCCCTCCCTCCTTTCACCCTCCTCGTGCTTGGTCCTCCTCCCTGCACGTCTGCATTCCAATCTCTCCTGCCGCCAAGCTGCTGCCGTAAGGAACCCGAGTTGAGGAACGGAGTTTCTCAAAACAGCCTGACTGCACGAGGCGCACCAGAGGAACAACCATGGAAGGGTCAAAAGGAACAGCCAAGCCCGTCCGAACACAAAATGTTTCTCAATTCCGCGTTTTGACTGTATTTCCTCATCCTTTGTTTTTTCCTCCTCCGCCGCCTCCTCCTCCTTATCCTTCCACGTTCGTCGCCCCTCTTCCGCCACCCGCCTCTTCCACAACTCCTCCTTCTCTCTCACAGGGCTCCTCGTCCGCCGCCTCATCGGCCCCATGCAGCCCCATTCCACCTTGCTTGTTGTTTTTCTCTTTCTCTCTCTCTCTCTGTTTCTCTCTCTCTCTGTCTCTCTCTCTCTCTCTCTCTCTCTAACTCTTTCTCTCTCCTCCGTCTCTATCCTCACAAATCGTCCTGCCTCTTGCTCATCGTAGATACTGATGCACTGATGCTCATGCGCTTTTTCAACCGGGACATATCGGAACGTTTTCGGCGTTTCGAAACGGCTGTCTTGCTGCAGCTTTACTGGCTGTCGGCAGGGGTGTGTTCTACTCTATTGGCTCGATCGGTTTTCGATGGTTTTCGGCTGCCCACTCGCATCTGCCACCCTCCCAATCATCATCGTCGTCGTCATCTTCATCTTCATCTTCATCATCATCATCATCATCATCGCCTCTCCTTCCGCACGCTACCGTCACCACTCATCGCCGTCGCCATCATCACCATCATCATCATCATCCAGGAGCGCCGACCTCCGGAGGAGGATGCGGAAAAGCAGATCGCAAGGACCTGCTGTTTTTTTGTTGCACTCCACTGTTCCAGCCAGGCCAGCGTCGCCTAATCGTTGAGGCCACGACGCGTAAGATCGGCCCGACGTGCTTCTGCCAGAACAGCCGCCAGGTCAAGCAGACGCATTAGGGTCTCGGCCACGTGCTGGGCCACGCACCTGTTGACAACTCGAGTGACATATACAGAGCCAAGCGCGTTGTTGATCTTGCGCGCCCTTGCATTCCGAAGCGCGCCGGAGCGAATGATGACGGCGACGCGCAGCCCGCTGTCGGCCGCAGCAGCCTCGGCGCGGTCGCGCGCCGTTGCAGCTGCTGGGTCGAAAGCGCAAAGATACTTCAGGCCGGACTTGTCGCGGCGGCGCAATTTGCGGCCCAGCGCGCGCAAGTTTCCCGCGCAGGAGGGCCCTGGCCCACGTGCGAAGTTGATTTCTCCAACGCACATCTTCGCTTGCACGGCGCGGGCCCCGCAAAAGAGTCACGGGCGCGCGCGGCAAGGGGCGGCCGCCGCCCGCGCGCGGGCCGTCGCCCCGCTGCCCTGGCCCCATAGCAGGATCGACGCGCGCGCGAACGCGTCGTCGGCGAACTCCTCTCCCATGATGAGCTCCCCGCCGATTGCGAGGAAGTCCTCGGGCATGGCGCCCCCGGCGACCGCCCCCCCCGCATTTTCTGAGTCGGCCGCCGTCGCCGAGGTCGCCGCGCCGCCCGCGTAAAAACGGCGCGACGCTTCGACGGGGCCGGAGGCAAGTTCGCATCGGATTTCAGGCTGCGGCACGTCGGCGGGCGCCCCTCGGCCACGATGCCTGCGCGCGCGCAGATGCGAGGCGCAAAGCCGCCTCATCCTTCCGGGCGCATTCGGGGAAGGCCTTGCCCGCCCAGAGGCGCTGCTCGGCCGAGCTGTTCCAGCGGGGGCACTGCTGTAAATGCCGATGCAAATCTGGGTCCAGCTTTGCCGCGGCTACGGTTCCGAAGCCGCTTCCGCCCGCGCCCCCGCCCGGGCGGACCGGATGGGCACCGACAGCGGCGATGCCGCGCGCGTCGCTCGGGCGCCATTGCAAAGCGCGCTCGGCGAGGTCGGGGGGCTCTTCGCGGCGGCCCGCGAGACGCGCGGGAGGCCGTCGAGCTGCTGCAGCGCGAGGGCACCTGGACAATCCCCCAGCCGCCGTTCCACGCCACTCGCCCAAGAAAAGCAAGGACTCCAGCAGCGCGGCCCAGTCGCTCAACCTCTCCCATTCCGAGCGCGGGGGCCCCAAGAGAGCAGAAATGGCGCCCGCGAAATCTTCGCCAGCGGGCGCCCGCGTCTCCGAGGCGAAGAGCGGGTCGCCCACGTGCATCTCCGCAGCCGCGCACCCGACAGACCACATGTCCAAGTCCTCTTGGCCACGCTTCAGCAGACGTCGGAGGGCGGTAGTGGAAGGCGCGCGCGCCGAGGGCGTCGCCCTGGCGCAGCCTCTTCTGCCGCCCGATGGCGGGGCCCGACGTCTGGCGCGCGCCGAGGTCGGCGATCGCCACCTGAGGGAAGGGGGGGGGGGGGGGAAGGGGCGCGATGGCGACCCGGCGGAAAGGCCGCCCGCGCCTGGAGGCGCGGCGCGAGTTCTGGCAGGCCGCGGACGGCTTCGGCGGCAAGCAGCACGTGCGGGTCACCAAAGTGACGGGGCACGCCGCGGCCCGCTCGGTCCGCGACGGCTACGCCGCGATGAACGACTACGAGGACAACCGCGCCGCGGACGGCTTCGCCAAGAAGGGTGCCGAGCTCCGCCCCACATGCGAGGCGGCGGTGAAGCGCGTCGAGCTGGCCGACGCGATCGCAGTAGCGACGGCCCGCTGGCTCGGCGAGGTGCTGCAGCTCGGGGGCGCCGCCCTCGCGGCGGCCGACGGCGCGGACGCGGGCGTGGCGGAGCCGACCTGCCGCGGGCGCGGGCGCGGACGGCGGGGCGCTGCGCGCTGCCGCGGCGGCGGGCCAGGATGCAGACGCTGGCCCTGCACTGCGCGCGGCGCGGCGGCCTCGGACGCAAACGGGGCGCGCTGGCTCTGCAACGCCTGCGCTGGCCGCTCGGACGGCATGGCCGTCCGCGGTGGGCCGCCTGGGCATCAGGCACCGGCGCGGAAGCGCGCGCGGGCGCCGAGCTCGGGGGCGGACGGCCCGAGCCGCTGAGCCGCCCGCGTAGCCGTCCGCGGGGGTGCGGCTCGGAGGCGAGGTGCCCGAACCGCTGAGCGCTCAGTGCGCTCTCCCCCCCACCTCCCTCCGTCGTGGGCCCGAGGGCCCCGTGTGTGCGCATGCAAATCCCACCAGCCCTCTGGGCGTCGGTGGTTTTAACGAGTTTCCTCTTCCACCCCTCCCTCTTCCCCTTCGGGGAGGGGTTTACCCCTCCCCCTGCCCCCTCCCCACTGACCTGGACAGGGGGTTCCGCGGCGCGTTGGAGCGCCCAAGATCGACCCCTGGGAGGGCTAAAATCCGACACCCCTCACAAGGATCGTGGCTCCTGAGGGGGGGGCTGTAGTTAGGGCCCCCCCCTTCGTTGATCGATCTCCTCCAAGATGGCTCCGAGGCCCCCCAAGAAGCCCCCAGGAGGCCCCCAAGAGACCCCCAAGAGGCCCCAAGAGACCCCCCAGAGGCACCCAAGAAGCGCCCAGGACAAGAAGCGCCCAGGAGGCCCCCAAAGGCCCCAAGATGGCCCCAAGAGGCCCCAAGAGGCCCCCAGGAGGCCCCAAAGAGGATCCCGAACGGCCCACAGAGCCCCCCCCGAGGCACCCAAGACGCCGAAAAGCCCCTCAGGACGACCCTATACTCGCCTGGGCGTCGTTTCTGGACGGGCTGGTGGGGATACTTATATATATAATATATATATATATATATATATATATATATATATATATACAGCCGCAGGCGGAAGCGCCAGCGGCGGGAGGTCGCGGGCGGGCTACGGCCGCGGCTAGATTGCCCAGCGCGCGCGGGGGCCGCGGATCAGGCGGCGAGGGAGGCAGCGCCCAGGGCGACAGCCGACGTGCAATCCAGGGAGACTGAGACAGCCCCAGGACGGGCATGCAACGGTGCATCCAACGAGCCTGAGGAAAGGCACCGAGGAGACCAAGCGCAGCCAAAATGGCGCGTGAGGCGTTCCCAGAAGTCCAGATGCGAACAGAAAGGAACGTTCCCGATGACATCGATCCAGGGAGTCAGTCGGGTACCACAGACTGACTGGGGACGTAAGTCCAGCGGAAAATTCTGGCGGTGA